CCGCCTCCTCGGCGCTGGCCTGCACCACCGGCTCCTTCGCACGGATGCCGAGACCTCCGGCGAGCCCTGGGCCAAGCCCCAAACGCAACTGCGAAACCAGCCACACTCGAGCCAAGTTTGCCCCAGAAAATTGTCAGGGCCGGCCCAAGTCAGAGCCTCGGCCAGCTGGGGCAGTGAGGGACAGTGCCGGGTGGCTGCTGGATCCCCATCCCTGCCCCTGTGCCCTTGTAGTTCCTTCTCACAGCTGCCCAGGCGATTCTTTTAAAAATGCAGATCTAACCAGGACCTTCCCAGCTCAGAACCCTGGAAAAACTACTCCCTTCTCCATGCAGGTTGGGATCCCTGCTGACCCCTAAACTTCATTTCCTGCCCCAGGACTCTTGCCCTTGTAGTTCCTGCTACTTGGACACATCTCCTAGATATTTTCACGGCTACAACTCTTAACTTTATTCAGGTCTCAGCTCAAATGTCACCTCCCAGCCTAGCTAGCGGAGCTGCCTCCCTTTAGCCTCTGCTCAATCTTGTCCCTTTTCACTATTTCTTTTTCCTGTCTCTGTCCTTTGCAGGACTCTCTCCATCTTGGTCATCATGGTAATCTGTGAATGAATGAGTGAATGGTCCTCAGGACCTGTCTTGGTAAAGGGAGAAGCCCCTTCCAGAAGCTCAGAGAAAGAAAGCTTCCTCAGCCAGCTGGGGGATTCAAACCCCCCCCATCAGCCTGATTTAAACATCACAGGGGGCGGCCTCTGACAGCCACCCCTCAAACAGCCCCTGTGGCTGATACCAGGATGCTCACTTCCCAGATGGCAAAACAAACTCAGTGAAGTCAGAGGCTTGAGAGTGCATGACTCCCACTGCCTCAGTTTCCTCCTGAGTAAAACCAACCCCTCTTAGGGCCTGATCTCCCCGATAGCTGGCAGGAGAGGAGGCCCTGACATTCCTGGGACTCCTGTGCCCAGCACCAAACTCACATAAACCCCACTTAGTCCCTATCCAGTGAGTGTCACAGTGGCCCCAACAGAGGACTGAGAGCCCCTTCTTTCCACAATAAATGTTACGAACACAGGGTCCAGGAAGGAAGAAGGACATCGGCTCCCTCTGGGCAGGACTTGGGGGGCTCACAGCCTGTCATGGCCTCCTCTGGGCCCAGTGGCTGTGCAGGACAGAGCATTGAGGACCAGCAAGCCTGGGTTTGGTAGTTGAGGACCCAGGGAGGAAAACCTGAAATCTGAGAGCTTGGGCTTTTTCTTCTACAGGATGGGCAGGATTTGGGGAGGAAAGGCAGGCAGGTTCACCCATACTGAGGACAGCAGCATCAAGCTCATGCCCTTGGTCGCGTCTGTCTAGGAGGCCGGGGCTCTTCCCTGGAAGCCACCCTGTGTGAGGCTCTGGAGCAGCAACGGAAGAACCACAGCTTTTGTTTCTAGTCCCAAAGAAGGATCCCTGGGCGAAGTGGGGGCTCGGTGTGGCCCTGCCCCAGGATGACAGGCTGTCTTCTTTGACTCAGACACGGCCGTGATCAGCCCCCAGGACCCCACCCTCCTCATCGGCTCCTCCCTGCAAGCCACGTGCTCTGTGCATGGGGACCCACCAGGTGCCACCGCTGAGGGTCTCTACTGGACCCTCAATGGGCGCCGCCTGCCCTCTGAGCTCTCCCGCATGCTGAATGCCTCCACCCTGGCCCTGGTCTTGGCCAACCTCAACGGGTCCAGGCAGCAGTCTGGGGACAACCTCGTGTGCCATGCCCAGGACGGCAGCATCCTGGCTGGCTCCTGCCTCTACGTTGGCTGTAAGTGGCCCCGTGACCCCCAGAGGTCCGTGCAGGGAGCAGCATCTGCCTGGACAGGGAGGGCCGGGTATCATGGGTGCTGTGGCCTGGGACTGAGCTGGGGCAAGTTCCAGGAGCGGGGACAGCCAGGAGACCCAGTTCAGCCTCAGCAGGCAGCCCAGGGGCTGGGGGTGTGGCCGGGGAGATCAGTTTAGCAATCCTGAGGCTGGTGCTCACGTGGGGCCCCCCCAGCAGTATGGCTATGCCCGCAGCCACCTGCATCTTGGGGGGCAGGGCTGAGACTGCCCTATCCCCCCTCCTCTGCCCTCCTTCCCCTAGTGCCCCCTGAGAAGCCCTTCAACATCAGCTGCTGGTCCAAGAACATGAAGGACCTCACATGCCACTGGACGCCGGGGGCCCAGGGGGAGACCTTCCTGCACACCAACTACTCTCTCAAGTACAAGCTCAGGTCCGTGCTGTCCCCTCCACCCGGGCTTGGCTGTGTGACCTTGGACCGATGCCGGCCTTCTTGGGACCCCTCTGTTCCTCCCCATCTATGTCCTGGCCCCTGCTGCCCTGCAGGTGGTACGGGCAGGACAACACCTGTGAGGAGTACCACACGATGGGGCCCCACTCCTGCCACATCCCCAAGGACCTGGCTCTCTTCACACCCTATGAGATCTGGGTGGAGGCCACCAACCGCCTGGGCTCGGCCCGCTCCGATGTGCTCACGCTGGACATCCTGGACGTGGGTGAGGCCCAGCCTGCTGCCCCCTAAGGCTGCTCTGCTAGACTTCCCTGAGGTCCCCCAGCTGGGGCTTGGACTCCAGCTCAGTCCCTGCTGTGGGGGACAGCTGGGCACCCACCCACCCCCATCCCCAAGCCCCAGAAACAGTCAGGTTGGCCCCACTCCGCAGAGACCACCTGGCCCGGCACCTCCCCCGTCGCGGCCCAGGTGTACAACAGGACCCAGGGGAGCCAGAGGGGGAGCCCAGGTCGGGAGGCGCCCCAGGAAGCCGAGGCCTGGAGCTGGGGGGTGAGGGCGGGAGGCAGGAAGTGGATGCTCTCCGAGCAGAATTGGGCCTAATCTAATTAGGGTGTTTCTCAGCCCCAAGCAGGCCTGTGCCTTAACCCTTTCAGCCCCTCAGCAAGGCCTGTGGGGAGAGGCCGGCCTTCTGAGGCCCATGGGAGGATCCCCCGGCAGCCTCTGGCCGCCCAGCCGTTTCCCTCTTGTGGCATCCTGAGGCTGCAGTGCGAAAGTTTGAGCCTCTGTTTCGTCCCGTGCCAAGAAGCAGGCACATGGCAGGTTTTGGTACGGTGCAAAGGAAGAGGTGAAGGTTTCCCAAGGGCTGGTGGCCTGACAGCCCCGGATGAAAACAGTATCTTCAGCCAAGCAGGGTTCTCTTCGGTTTGTTTGTTTCTGTGAAGCCGGGCCTGACCCCCAGGCTTTGCACACGCTAGGCAAGTGCCGCCCCTCAGCCCACAGCTTCCGCTCATGTTTCTCCCATCACAGATAATATGGGTGATAACAGCTCACGCTAATTGAGTGCCGCTAGATGCTGAGTGCTTCTGGAGTTTCGTATCATGTTATCCACCAGGCCAGAGCTCAGGGAGGAGGGGAAGCGGAGGCAGGGCCACCTCAGGCACGTGCCCTGGACCCTGCTGCTGGGGGATCTGAACCCAAACAATCCCAGACTGTCATCGGCCACCCAAGACGAGGTTCCGGGTGACCGGGCCCTGGTCCACCCCACAGTGACCACGGACCCCCCTCCTGACGTCCATGTGAGCCGCGTCGGGGGCCTGGAGGACCAGCTGAGTGTGCGCTGGGTTTCGCCACCGGCTCTCAAGGATTTCCTCTTCCAAGCCAAGTACCAAATCCGCTACCGCGTGGAGGACAGCGTGGACTGGAAGGTGCCTGGCCCACCTCTGGGACTCCGCCCTACACCTGCCCCGCCCCTCCTCCGGCCACGCCCTCTGCCTGACCTGGCCTTCACTGTCCAGGTAGTGGACGACGTCAGCAACCAGACCTCGTGCCGCCTGGCTGGCCTGAAGCCGGGCACTGTCTACTTCGTGCAAGTGCGTTGCAACCCCTTTGGCATCTATGGCTCCAAGAAAGCTGGAATCTGGAGCGAGTGGAGCCACCCTACTGCTGCCTCCACCCCCCGCAGCGGTGAGCACCCCAACAAGCCTGGGGGGTGGGGGTCCACCACCTAGCTCCATCGGCCTGAGTCTTCCTCCTTGTTTCTGCAAGAGAGCAGAAGTCTCACACAGGTAATGCCCCCAGGGTCTGGTGCGACCCTGGATGGATTTGGACTGTCTGGAGGGGAAAAAAAGTTTGACCTACTTGGAGAGATTCAGAACAGGAAGTGCCTGGTGTGGTGGCGCAGGCCTGTCATCCCAGCACTCAGGAGGCTGAGGCAGGGGGATCGCTGAGAATTCAAGGCCAGCCTGAGCTACATAGTGAGTTCAAAGCCAGCCTGAAATACATAGTGAGACCCTGTCTCAAAAAACAAACCAAAACAGCAAATTTATACAAAAACATCTTAGATTTGCTCAAAAAATAAGTTCTGCAGGAAATGGGACAAAACAGCCCTCGCTGCTGTATGGCCCCAGGGGTGGCCCCCTCATGGGACCCGCCCTCACCATCGGCCCCACTGCCACCTGGGCCACTCTTCCCCTGTACCCATCCTCAGCCCCCAAGAGCAAGTGAGTTTGAGGCCCTTGTCTCTGAGGCTCTTGGGCCTCAGTGTCCCCTTCTGACCCAGGTGGGGGTGGGAGGAATTAGGGGTGTGGGTGAGACTTCTTCCGTTGTCCTCTGGTCTTTCTTTAAATCTATGGATTCTTTATGCTGTCCCTTGTGAAGGAGGATGCAGTCCGTTACTTGGACTGCGACCTCAGTTTCCCCGTCTGGAAAGCGGGGATGAGGGTCACACCTGGCTCTGGTGGCTGTGAGAGTTAGGGCCACCATCTGGCCTACAGGGCTCCCCAGCCTCTCTCATGACTTCACCCCCAGGGAGGTCCCTTTTCCCAGGCAGTGACTCTGAGGCCCCAGTTCAGTGACAGTCCAGGCAGGAAGGTGGGGAAAACTGAGGCCGGAGAGTCCCAGAGCCAGAAAGGGGCAGAGCCAGGCCCCAGCCAGCTCCCCAGCCCCCATCCGGGCCCCTGCAGGTTCTGGGGTGGGCGGGAGCGAGCTGCGGGAGGGGCCTGAGCCTTGGCCCCTGCTCGTGCCCAGCACCTGCGATTCTTGCGCGGGAGCCAGGACGCGGCTGTAGCCGCTGGGGAGGCCGGGGAGGCCAACGGGGGCGGTGAGGTCCGGGGCCGTGCCAGGGCCTGTCAGCGGGTCCCCAGCCTTATTTATGACGTGAGGCCGATGTCCTTGTCCGCCGGCCTGCTTGGGGCTGGCTGCGGCCGGCGCTGGACAGACAGGCGGCTGCCCACCTGGCCGCGGCCACTCGCAGCCGCTGCCTCGGGCTCCGGGCGCATCCTGGGAACCTGGGGACGCCTTGCACGCTGCCTCCCTCCCTGCCACTCCTCCCCGGGTCTCTCTTCCTCCTTCCTTCCTCTTTTTCTTCTTTCCGTTCTTCCTTTGTTCTTTCTTCTTCCCTTCCTGTCCCAGGGCTGTGGATGGAACCCGGGACCTCTCGCCCTTTCTCTTGCTTTGTTCCTGTGCCCCAGGGCCTCTGTCCCCGTGGGTGCCGCCTCTTGTCCTTGCGCTTCAGCCTTGGCAGCTGCGTGTCGCCTGGATTTCTCCCTTCTCTTCGGCCTCCTGCTCTCTGTCCCGTCCCCCTGCCCCCTCACCTGGCCGGGGCCACGGGAATCGGGTTCCTGGAGGCGCTGTGGGGAGGAGCCCGCTCTTTCCCGCCCCTCCTCCCCAGGGCGCAGCTGGGCCGAACGCAGACACGGTCCCGGGACGCTGGAGGCGGCGCGGGTCCTAGGGAC